CGACACTGCCCTCACCACCCGCGGCCTCAGTTATAATCGCATTTAGGGCGGCAGAATAGAGAGGGCGACGTCCCCTACACTGCCCTCACCACCTGCGCCCTCAGTTATATCCGCGTCTAGGGCGACAGGATAGAGAGGGCGGCGCTCACAACACTAATTCTCACCACCCGCACCCTAAGGTATATCCGCGTCTAGGGCGGCAGAATAGAGAGGGCGCCGTCCCCGACACTACCCTCACCACCCGCGCCCTCAGTTATATCCGCATCTAGGACGGCAGAAAAGAGAGGTTGGCGTTCGCGACACTACCCTCACCACCCACGCCCTCAGTTATGTCCGCAACTAGGACGGCAGAAAAGAGAGGTCGGCGTCCGCGACACTACCATCACCACCCACCCCCTCAGTTATATCCGTGTCTGAGGCGTCAGAATCCGCGACAGCTCCCTCGACATCCCTCGACACATTAGCAACCGCCTAGCAACACTTTAGCAACCATCTAGTAACACTTTAGAAACCTCTCAGAACACCATATGAACCACCTAGTAACACCTTAGTAACCACCTAGAACACCCTGACAACCACCTAGAAATGCCTTAGCAACCACATAGAACACCCTAGAAACCGTCTAACAACCACTCGGAACACCTTAGCAACCACCTAGCAATGCCTTAACAACCACCTAGAACACCCTAGCAATGCCTCAGTAACCACTCAGAACACCCTAGCAATACCTTTGCAACTGCCTAGCAACCATTTAGAACACATTAGCAACCGCCTAGCAACACTTTAATAACCACTTAGAACACCTTAGCAACCACTCAGAACATGGCTTAGCAACTACCTAAAACACCTTAGCAGCCACCTAGTGACGCTCTTAAAAACCGGCCAAAACACCCTAGCAACGTCTTAGTAACCACCTAGCAACCACTCAGAATGCCCTAGCAACCACATAGAACACCCTAGAAACCATCTAACAACCACTCGGAACACCTTAGCAACCACCTAGCAATGCCTTAACAACCACCTAGAACACCCTAGCAATGCCTCAGTAACCACTCAGAACACCCTAGCAATACCTTTGCAACTGCCTAGCAACCATTTAGAACACATTAGCAACCGCCTAGCAACACTTTAATAACCACTTAGAACACCTTAGCAACCACTCAGAACATGGCTTAGCAACTACCTAAAACACCTTAGCAGCCACCTAGTGACGCTCTTAAAAACCGGCCAAAACACCCTAGCAACGTCTTAGTAACCACCTAGCAACCACTCAGAATGCCCTAGCAACCACCTAACACCTTAGTAATGACTCAGAACACCCTAGCAACGGCTTGGCAATTATTCAGAATACCCTAACAACCACCTAGAAACACCCTAGCAACCACTTGGCAAAAAACATGCCAACCCACACTAGAAACATGCTAACCTATATGTAGGTGTCTATCTATGCCGACTGTTTCAAATTTCTGTAAAACTACTTTAATTATTTAAACTACTTCAAACCTTCAGGCGAGACTTTCTCAAGCCACCTTAACGTTTATTCACGAGCTTTACTTTTCTAGTTTAATTGGTTATCATCAGACTTGATGAAAACAGCCCGCTGAAACACTTTGATTGACATTCTCCCCTTGCACGCATCATCAGAGGGGGTAAGCCCCGCCCTCTAGTGACCATGCAAACTCCACACAGAAATGCCAGCTGGCCCAGGCGAAACTCAAACCAGCAACCTTCTTGCTGTGAGGCGACAGCGCTAACCACTGAGCCACCGTGCCACACATTGTAACCAGAGCTAATAAATGAGGTTGTTCCCGAGACACTGCAGGGTTCAGTCTTTCAGCGGATGGTCTGGGTCTGGAGCGCATTGGGCTGCTCTGCGAACAGTCTGCTCCAAACTGGGAAAGGAGCAAAGCAGAGGGGGAAGCGCAGATGAAAACAGCTATTTTAATAAACCTGGCCTACCTTTACTCCTCTGGTACTATATACACATAACCTTGTTTATCAAAGCGACTGTTTGAAGCGCTCGTCTATGTTTTTTTCTCTTTCATTTTCTCGCAGTACCTGCAGCCTCGAGCGGCTCACTCATTCACTTTGTTGTTTGCCGTGTATTCTTAGTTTTTCCTTCCCCCCTCTCTCTCCCTCTCTCTTTCTCTCAATTATTGTTATTATTTTTATTTAAATGAACTTTATTGGCACGACTTGCAATGTAGCACTCAAGCACTGCGCATTACATAAACAAAGAATAAAGTAGTGATTATATAAAGCCTGTATGCATATATAAATACAATCAGAAATTAAATAAATGCATACACACATAGGAACATGACTAATCCGTGACCCTGGACCACAAATCTAGTCTTAAAGGGCACCTATTATGCAAAAAACACTTTTATATGGGGTTTAAACACAGATGTGGCAGCAGTGGGTGAAATATCCAGCTGATAATGGACAGAAAATATGTAATTGTATTTGTTGTAATCAGACTTGATGAAAACACTTTGATTGACATTCTTGCTTTGTACGTGTCATCAGAGGGGGAAAGCCCCGCCCACTAGTGACCGTCTCTCCCTCATTAGCATAAACAGCCCTGAGTGAGAAGCTGCCATCCGCCATGGGAGTCGTAAATCTGCCAATGTGCTGACGCACAGGTGTTTGTTGCTCCGCCCTCTTTGAAAAGCGCACAATCTCATTTGAATTTAAAGCGACAGTCACCAAAACACCACAATTAGAATCAAAAGCCGAAAAGGGGCAGGTATTTTGAGCTAAAACGTCATATATATATATATATATATAAAGCTGCTATATTGGATTGATTCGCGCTTTATGACATGGTGCTTCATCCTGCTGGAAGTGGCGATCAGAAGATGGAGACACTGTGGTCTTTAAGGGATGGACATGGTCAGCAGCAATACTCAGGTAGGCTGTGGCGTTGACATGATGCTCAATTGGTACTAATCAGTCTAAAGTGTGCCAAGAAAATCTCCCCCACACCATTACACCACCACCACCAGCCTGAACCGCTGATACAAGGCAGGATGGATCCATGCTTTCATGTTGTTGACGCCAAATTCGGACCCGACCATCTAAAGGTTGGACGTGTTGTGTGTTCAGAGATGCTCTTCTGCGGACCTCGGTTGTAACGAGTGCTTATTTGAGTTACTGTTGCCTTTCTATCAGCTGGAACCAGTCTGGCCATTCTCTTCTGACCTCTGTTTGGATGGATGGTTGTGCGTGAAAATCCAAGTAGATCAGCAGTTTCTGAAATACTCAGAGCAGCCCGTCTGGCAGCAACAACCATGCCACGTTCAAAGTCACTTAAATCCCCTTTCTTCCCCATTCTGATGCTTGGGTTGAGCTGCAGCAGATCGTCTTGACCATGTCTGCATGCCTAAATGCATTGAGTTGCTGCCATGTGATTGGCTGATTAGAAATTTGCGTTAAAGAGCAGTTAGACAGGTGTACCTAATAGTGGCCGATGAATGTAATTATTTTGCAAGTATATTTATTGCACATTCATTTATTCATTAATTAATTAAATTTCAGCTTAGCCCCTTTATTATATATATATTTTATTATATATATATTTTTTATTATATATGCATTTCTATGTTATATATAATAATAATAATAATAATAATAATAATAATAATTATTATTATTATTATTATTATTATTATTATTATAGCCTATCCAATTCACCTGTGCCCCACGTCTTTGGACTGTGGGAGAAGCTGTAAGGGCATCCGCAGCGTAAAACATGCTGGATTAGTTGGCGGTTCATTCCAAAGGGAATAAGCCGAGAAGAAAATGAATGAATGATGATTGATGGTACTAAATTTTATTTAAATTCAAATGATAAAAATACTTTTTATTTGATTTCTTAATTTATTTTTGCTGACAAATTATTTTAACATGACATCAGACATCTCTCACAATGGTTTTAGACAGTTTGCAATGGTATTTTAGGGTCTAGCAATCAATAAATCGATAAAAACACGATAATATCTGTTAAGAAATAATAATAATAATAATAATAATAATAATAATAATAATAATAAAAATAACAATACATGAAGAGGGTAATTCTTTCTAATATGGTGGGAAAATCAATATCCTGATGTTTGAAAATGCTTCTCGTCTTTAGTTTATACATATTTAAACACCTTATATAATATGAGTACACTGTAAACAGATGATTGACATGCTGCCGTTTGTCTAGGTGTGGAACAGGTATAATGGCTCTTTCAGTTCGAGTCAGCCAATGATCTGAGTTTGGGGCGGGGCCTCGTGTAGATTCGACCAATGGTAGAGGAGGAAAGCTCATATTACAGGTTTGAAAATTCAGCAAGAGTTATTGTTTCCACCTGTAGAACAGGACAGGTAATGTTTACAGCTATAATGCGTGAATACAACCAGCAGCTATTATATTTAGATCATCCACGAATGTAAATGTGTGTGTGTGTGTGTGTGTGTGTGTGTGTGTGTGTGTGTGTGTGTGTGTGTGTGTGTGTGTGTGTGTGTGTGTGTAGGAGTAAGTGTGACAGAGTGTGTGTGAATGTATATGAGTGTGTTTGTGTATGTGAGTATGCGTGTTTATATGTGTGTGTGTTTTGTTGTGAGTGTGTGAGTAAATGTATGTGTGTGTGTTTTTGAGTATATGTGTGTGTATGTATGAGTAAGTGTGAGAGTGTGTGTTTATTGTTTTAGAGCTGATGTGATGAGTATAGTGAAGAAGTTGAAGTGCAGATTGATTGCAGAGATGGTTGAGTTTAGAAGGAGAGGAGGAGAGAATATACAGTCTGTACACAGTAGAAACATCATTACAGCTGTGTGTGTGTGTGTGTGTGTGTGTGTGTGTGTGTGTGTGTGTGTGTGTGTGTGTGTGTGTGTGTGTGTGTGTGATATCCGTCAGTAGGGGGCGCTTCTCCACTCGCTCGCTCCACTCTTCGCGCAGGTGACGTCACGCGCGCGCACTCTCTCCCTTTCTCTCTCGCTCTCCCGCCGGGCGCGCGCACCACAGCAGCGGAGAGAGAGACGCGCAGAGAGAGCATGGGGCGCGCGGATCGGCTGGAATAAGAAACATTTCCCAACACTTTTACAAACTTTCTCAACTCGGCCGACAGATATGGATATCATCATTTTGAGCACATTGCTCCTGCTTGCGGTGTTTGGGGGCGCAGGAGCCCAGTACACACCCGGTAAGTGCCTAAAGATTCACCTTTACCGATCCCCGGAGCGGAACGGGCAAAAGTTTAACGGCTGTTGCTTTGAATGCATGCGCACCTTTCTGCGGAGCACGAGCACACGGTTTTACCGTACAACTTCACTCATGGCTGTTTTTATGGAGAAATCTCTTTCTTTGTCAGTGTGTGTGTGTGTGTTGATGGTTTGTGCTGGAGAATAGTGAGTACACACACACAGGTATCCGCCGCGGAACCAAAGTACTTTACCAAACACCGCTCAGCAAACCGGCTGGGGGTTCTGTCCGGATTTACAATCGATTCATTTGGGAATTTAACATTTGTTTGCAACAGAAATACTAAAACTCCATTCTCCTGTTGTAAAAAAAGCTCTGTAGAACAGGAGGATATCTGTACGCGTTCAAAACTCCCAAACCCGCGAGCGTGTGGTGTGTAAACATTACTGTAATCCCTGACATGAACAAAAAAACACACGAAAACTGATGGTAATATGCAACAGGACTCCTGAAAGCATCTCAGTAACACAATCCTCAGAGTCTATAGCTATTTCTTTTGGAAACATGTTGTTGTATTCTTCGTAATTTGCTTTTAAATTGTAATATTTCATTTATTTTAGTTTCATTTAAGTAGAAATGAGTCTAATATAAACCCCAACGAGGAATTATTTTAGATCTTTAGGCAAAAAAGCTATGTATCTTTACAAGAAATGTGACCTAATGCATTACTAAAACTGTATTTATTTCCTCAAGTCAGTTCTCCAAGTCTGACATTTTATTTTTGTGAGGTTCAGTATCATATTTAATAAGTGTGTATTTAAAAACAAATAAAGAAAATTCAGCTCGATCAGATTTATCTGGAGCACAAATATGACCTTAAAGCATCACAGCACACCGCAACATTTTAGGCAAATATTTTCAATCAGTAAAGTACTTTTCTCATACAGATATGAGGGGAAATAAGAGCTGATATGAATGAAATGAAGCTTTCTTTATTTGTCCAAGTGTTCAATTATGAAAAAAATAGCAACATGACGGTCACACTTTTTCAGATTTGTAATTATTTATAAGGCTTATATTCATATAGGGGTCTATGACCACCCTGCTTATAGACATTAGTTATGTTAGCTATGATGAAGGGTTCAGGATATGCAGTTTCAGACACTAATATGTGCTTTATATAAAATGCGGGTAGTATGCATGCTAATAAACGACGAGATAGTAGTAAATTGTAAATTATACATGTATAATTTTAGACTATTTTTTATTATTGAAGGCTAATAATTACAAATAAATCAATAATTTTAAAAACTTCATTTAAAAATATGCTTAAAATGATCTATCTATCTATCTATCTATCTATCTATCTATCTATCTATCTATCTATCTATCTATCTATCTATCTATCTATCCAAACCGAATATCATAGTCCAAATATTGCTACACCAAAAATAATTGTAAAAAACATGTTAAATAATAATTTAAAAAACAAATTTAGTTGAAAGTTTGTACTTTATAATTGATCATTTTCAATAAAATTATTTGAAATATTAAATTATATTTAATATCTGCATTATTACATGTATTTTATTTCTATTCCTAAAAACGATAAGCTAAAAATAACAACAAATAAAACCATTTTCTTTAAACTATTAGCTATATTCACAGAGAAATGGATACAAACATTCATTTTCAAAAGAGGTTGTACTGCTGCATGTATAAATAAGTTTCTCCTGTTCTCGTTTGGATGTTTTGGGACCTGTCGAATGGCTCTCTAATCTTGCGAGGCTCACATCTGTGTAACCTGTATCACATCTCCGTCTGCAGGGGTTGGTGTGTGTGATACAGCTGTCTATGTAATTGCTGATTAATTAATCAGCGAGTCTAACCCTGGGATTAATTCTATTAGAGTAATCAAAAACAACGGATGACAAATGGCAAATTACGTGAGGAGGCTGAGATTGATTAGTGACTGCTGTAATTATGCCAGCGTGTTATGGAAATGAAGAGCGGGATCAGCGCTGGCTGCTTTCAGAGAGTGAGCTAATCCCTGCTATCGCTCTTTTTCTCTTTCTCTGGACGCAGCTCAAATGGGACATGCGGAGAAAGGTGAGTCGTAAATCCATGCCGCTTATTATCATCATCATCATCCTCATCATCATAAACATCTGTGCGGGACATCTGTGTTGGAGTAATTGACCCAATGACCTCTCACCAAATGGGTTAGCTGCGTCTCTTTAACCCAAGCACATGACAGTGAAGCTTAGCTGTGTGTTAATATGAGATTCTTGTTGCAGTCAATTGCTGAGGGTTTTTACCATTGTAGTGTTGTCAAAAATATCGAAAAATTGAAATATTTAAAAATGATACTATCTTACCTCCGTAAAGTTGGCACCCCATAAAAACAAATAATCCCCGAAACTATGCTATTCGTTTGTGCTTGTTTGTGCCTTAAAAATGAACGTTTGTGCTAGTTTGGGTTCTGAGATATTAAGCATTGTTTTTCGAAAATAGATAAACAAACGAATGACACCTGTTTTGTGCAATTAAGAGGAAATAAGGGGGTGGATAGTGACGTCACGACTTCCGAAGTGTTTTGATTAGGCAATATCTAAACAACGAAAATAAATAAAGTGTTTATTTTAACGGCACAAATCGGGCACAAACGAATGACGCCAGTTTGGTGCAATTTAGAGGAACACGGGGTGTATAGTGTTGTCATGGCTCCCGAAATATTTTAATTATATCTAAACAACGAAAATTAATAAAGTGTTTATTTTAACGGCATAAATCGGGCACAAACGAATGACGCCAGTTTTGTGCAATTTAGAGGAAACGGGGTGTATAGTGTTGTCATGGCTCCCGAAATATTTTAATTATATCTAAACAACGAAAATAAAGTGTTGATTTTAACGGTACAAACCAGCACAAGCGAATGACCAGTTTGGTGTGATTTAGAGGAAATTATAGGGTAGAGAATGACGTCACGGCTCCCAAAATATTTTAATATATCTTAACAACGAAAATAGATAAAGTGTTTTTTTAGCGGCACAAACGAATGACACCAGTTTGGTGCGATTTAGAGGAAATGTGGTGGAGAGTGACATCACGGCTCCCAAAGTGTATTTATTAGGCAAGATCTAAACAATAAAAATAGATAAAGTGTTTATTTCAACGGCACAAATTGGGCACAAACGAATGACGCCAGTTTGGTGCGATTTAGAGGAAATGTGGTGGAGAGTGACATCACGGCTCCCAAAGTGTATTTATTAGGCAAGATCTAAACAATAAAAATAGATAAAGTGTTTATTTCAACGGCACAAATTGGGCACAAACGAATGACGCCAGTTTGGTGCGATTTAGAGGAAATGTGGTGGAGAGTGACATCACGGCTCCCAAAGTGTATTTATTAGGCAAGATCTAAACAATAAAAATAGATAAAGTGTTTATTTCAACGGCACAAATTGGGCACAAACGAATGACGCCAGTTTGGTGCGATTTAGAGGAAATGTGGTGGAGAGTGACATCACGGCTCCCAAAGTGTATTTATTAGGCAAGATCTAAACAATAAAAATAGATAAAGTGTTTATTTCAACGGCACAAATTGGGCACAAACGAATGACGCCAGTTTGGTGCGATTTAGAGGAAATGGGGTGGAGAGTGACATCACGGCTCCCAAAGTGTATTTATTAGGCAAGATCTAAACAATAAAAATAGATAAAGTGTTTATTTCAACGGCACAAATTGGGCACAAACGAATGACGCCAGTTTGGTGCGATTTAGAGGAAATGGGGTGGAGAGTGCCGTCACGGCTTCCGAAGTATTTTATGATATATAAACAACGAAAATAGATAGTGTTTATTTTAACGGCACAAACCAGCACAAACGAATGACGCCAGTTTGGTGCGATTTAGAGGAAATGTGGTGGAGAGTGACATCACGGCTTCCAAAGTGTTTTGATTAGGCAAGATCTAAACAATAAAAATAGTTAAAGTGTTTATTTTAACGGCACAAATCAGACACAAACGAATGACGCCAGTTTGGTGCGATTTGGAGGAAATGTGGTGGAGAGTGCCGTCCTGGCTTCCGAAGTATTTTATTATATATAAACAATGTAAATAGATAAAGTGTTTAACTTAACGGCACAAATCGGGCACAAACGAATGACGCCTATTTGGTGCGATTAAGAGGAAATTATAGGGTGGAGAGTGACGTCACGGCTCCCGAAATATTTTAATATATCTAAACAACAAAAATGGATACAATGTTTTTTTTTTAACGGCACAAATCGGGGACAAACGAATGATACCAGTTTGGTGCAATTTAGTGGTAATGGGGTGGAGAGTGACGTCACGGCTCCTGAAATATTTTAACTATATCTAAACAATATATCTAAACACGGCACAAACCAGCACAAACGAATGACGCCAGTTTCGTGTGATTTAGCGGAAACGGGGTGGAGAGTGACGTCACGACTCCTGAAACATTTCAATTATATCTAAACAACGAAGATAGATCAAGTGTTTATTTTATCGGCACAAATCGGGCACAAACGAATGACACCAGTTTGTTATATATGTTAAGGGAATCAATAAATAAAATGAATAAACGTGAAAAATCTCAAGTTTAGTTGAACTTCTGTAGCTTGTAATTTTACTTCTAATAACTGGAGTCAAGACATTTGGTGACCAAACTCTAATTTTAATGAATATATCGGTTTAATAATTCTGTTTTGTTTATAAACACTGTAACTATATTGGCTATATTCACTGAGAAATGGATAAAAAATATACGTTTCCAAAATGTGGGTGTACTTATTTATGCTGAGCTCTGTATATTGAATTATTGAGCTAGCTGTGTCTTTTTACCCCCGCAAACACACTCACACACACACACACACACACACACACACACACACACACACACACCAAGCTCTTCCCAGAATTCCTCCAGAAGGGGCTTTCAAAGTAAAAAAAGTGCTTGACTTGTGTTTGTAATAATAAGCCACGTCGTGATTCTTTTATTCGGAGCAAATTTCATTGAGGCAGTCACAGAAACATGATTATAAAGAAGGACAAATGGCCGGCCTTCTTTTGCATTTCTTTGGAGAAGTTGGCGTGCTGACTTTTAAAGGACGCTTTTAAAGGAAAACCTTGCGCTCAAGACACAATAGCAAATTCTGCACATTTCAGCTCCTTGTGTGCTGCACAATTACAGCCGCGCACTCTCGCTCCATCTGTGTGTGTGTGTGTGTTACGCTTTTACAGCTGAGCGAAAAACAAGGTCTTCAGTGTGACTTTAACAAGGCGTCTGTGCGAGGCCATGATTTGAATATAACGCTGGAGTTGTTATTTTGGCCGATTTCTGGCCGTGTGTCATCATCGGTGTGGACGTAATGCCCGAGATGGGATGTAAAGTGATGTTCAGCTGAGAAATATATGAGCGAGTGTCTGTTCTGTCTTCCACACCGAAGGGTTTTGCCTCGGAGAAGTGCGAGTGAATCTATCCTTCATCTAATGGGGCTGGCAGAAATGAGCCTTATGCTTTGAGGGTCAGTGTGATCCGTGTGAACAATATTTCAGGCTTTTCTTTTCTTTTTTGGTCACATAGGCTGTATCTGAAATCAGCCTTAAGCTGTAGTAGGGCTGCTCGATTTTTGGATAAAAACGTAATCGCTATTATTTTGGTCTATTGTCGAAGGGTTGCCAAAAGTATCGAATTTGGAACAAGTCGATATTCAGTACTGACATTTTTAAAATTCTATTTCCAGCAAACATTTTAAGTGCATACACTAAAAAATGTAAAAAGTCAAATGACCGGCAGCTACGGCTGCCAAACAAAAACCATAAAATTATGGTAAAAATTCTTGTTGAAATAAAGTGGAAAAATAATAAATCTACAGATATTTTCATTAAAATGTTTACTGAAAAACACTGTTATTTTACAGACTTTTCCTAGATTATTATGATCAAATCCATTTAATAAATTAAAATATTTACAGAAAAACACTGTTATTTTACAGACTTTTCCTAGATTCCTGTATAAAACAGGAAAATTGCTGTAATTTGTCATTAATTATATAGTACATAAAATAAAAGTCAAGCTGTTAATTTACAGATATTGTATGCAAATTTTTACAGACTTTTAAATAGATTTTAAATTAACAGAAAAATGCTGTAGAAATAATAATGTAATTTCCCTGTATAAAAAACCAAAAATACATAAAATGAAAGTCAAACTGTTAATTTAGAAAGATTGTTTGTCATTTTACTAAGTTTTGAATAGAATTTGATATGACAAAAAATTACTGTAAATAAAATTAGAGATTATTTTCTGTAAAATTAGTTTTTTACAGTGTATTTAAACAATGCTGATTGGCTATTGTGTTCATGTGCTTGACAGAAATTACCATGAAGGTGCTCAAATGTTATTGTTATAATTTTTTTATTGGTGTTTAACAAGACAATGCAACATCGTATCCCCTCAAAATAAATTGAATGTATGAATTACAAAAAGCATATCCTCTAAAAGAAAAGAAAAAGAAAAGAAAAATTAAAAGAAATTATTTAAAAAAATTATAACTGAGCAAGTTTACAATAAGAGCAAAAAAAATTAAGTTCACTTTAGGGAGTCAATATTTCCTCTTTCTAATGAATTACTGTGTATTAGATCTGACATCAACTTAACAGGGTGAGCCTTTGATATAGGCCAAAACAGGGTTCCAGGTCTTGTGAGAAGACTTGATAGATCCTGCAAGTAAACATCTTAATTTCTCAAGTTTTATGCAACTAAAGATTTCTCGGATCCACATGTCATGTGATGGAGGAATCACCTGTTTCCATTTAATAAGAATGGTTCATCTAGCTAAAAGAGTAGAAAAGGCAACGACCTGGCTAGATGCAACAAAAACCTGGAAGTTTTAATATACCAAGAAAGAGCTTGATTAGCTGGTTCAGGTGTGTTTAATTGGGATTGGGTCTAAATTATGCAGGACACCGGCCCTCCAGGACTGAGTTTGGGCACCCCTGGTCTAGATTAATGTTAATAGATTTATTAAGCGTGTCAAAAACACTGGACCAGAAATTGTTCAATTGAGGGCAACTCCAGAA